ATTCTTCATTTTCTTATTTCTCCATGTAAAGTTATAACATGGCCGTAGGAACCGGGGGCACGGGGGAAGGGGGCGGGGTCCCCCCCCCCCAAATAATTTTGCCGATATATAGATTACTATAGTAAATATAGATACTATATGATTGTGCCCCCTCAATAAAAACTACTGATGACCTTTTTTTTTTTTTTTTTTTTTTTGCTTGTCATGGAATTCTTGGTAGTTGATGACCTTGTTTTTTGCTTGTCAGGAAATTTTGGTAGTGCCCCCTCAACTGTCAACTGAAAATGTATGGCTGTGCGCCCCCCCCCCCCCCCCCCAAAAAAACCAACTGAATTTGCTTCCTACAGGCCTGTATAAAGACACTGACTGCTTAGATTGAGCTAAGATTTTAATCTTATGGTTTCGCAAGTTTTAAAAGATTTGCCTGTCGTCTATCAATGTATAGATCATTGGGCTGAATTGACCAAAGCGGAGTAACTCTGACCACCGTCCAACCATAACAGAGGTTTAGGATTGGCTTTTGTGTACAACATACTGTTAAAAAAGAGGGGAAAAAACGCATAATAAGAATAATACCCTGAATTTGTCACAATTTTTTAGATGGATATGATTCATTTTAGTAAAATACATAATTTTTTAACGCTATTACCGACAGCCATTCTACAAAACTCACAGACAAAAAGACCCGATTTTGCATAATACTGAAATTTGGTCTTTTTTGGTTACACTTTTCTTTTGTTAGTTTCTGATCCACATCCTCCAGGTACAAAACGGCTATCAAAAGCTTAATATTTTGATCTGTTTTTGTTTTCCTGAAAATTGACGCTACCTAAAAATCTGCATCTGATGATGCATATCGCAAAAAAGGAAACTGGGCAACTGGAAGCATGTGTACTACTGTCTACAATTGCAAGAGGTTTTAATGTTGCACAAAGCACCATATTTAACTTATAAAACAATTACTAAGTACCAAGAGCATGGTACAACGATCGCGAAAAATATGGCAGACTACGCGTGACATCTGCAGAACGCTTTGCATGATGTTCATCAACATTTCAGAATGACGTAGTCGACAGCATTAGCTATCCTTAAACTGCTCAGAATATCTTAGAACAAGAACATTTGCAATTGACTACCATATGGTGAAATTATCGCCAGAGGATTTATTCATGCCATTGTTCTGACCCTACAACACCGCCAATATCGACTTCAAAGGTCTCAAACCAACAGAGTATGTCCAAAGTAACGCCGCTGAACAGTTTGGTACAGCTACTGCACAGGCGCTTGACGTTTTTAACCTTTCTTTCCATAAATAAAAAATCCCTCATACTATAATATTATAGTATGGGGGATTTTTTATTTATGGAAAGAAAGGTTAAAAACGTCAAGCGCCTGTGAGCTACTGCCGTACTGGTCCAAAATTTGTAAGTCAGAGTGCATAAGCTTTGTAATCAAAGTTTTACAAAAAAAAACTGCCTCTGGGGGTTGATAGATTTGATGGTGGTAGTATTTTGAAGTTTGTTTGTTTGTTTGTATGTTGTTTAAAGTCCCTCTCGAGAATTTTTCACTCATATGGAGACGCCGCCACTTGCCAATTTAGGGCTGCAAATTCTAACCTATGCTCGGCACTCAAGGCCATTGAGCAGTGAGGGATCTTTTTCGTGCCAACACCTACTGCGACAGCGGACCTCGGTTTATACAGTCTCATCCGATGGACCCGCAGTGGATTAGAACCCGCGACGTAAGAATCTATCCTTACTCCGCGACTTTTGAGCTGACGCTCTAATCCCTGCTCCACGCGGGCGACGTATTTTGAAGTGGAAAACGGTATTATATACAAGTAGGACTGATTTGGTCCATATTCAAAGGGCTTTGACGGAAAACGGCACTCTAACAATCCTAACTGAACATGCATTTCTAATAATGCAGCATCCCGGAGCCGTATTTCAATCTGACAATACACAGAGGCTCAACTGACATGCGCATTCTTGGAAAGCCACAGCATCCTGTTCTGTCTTGGCCATCTAAATCGCCAGATTGAGCATGCATTGAACAAAATGGATAGGCATATCCGCCAAAGCAAGCGCATCCCCAGACTCTGCAAGAGCTGACCAAAGCTTTATATTAAGAGTGAGATAGCATTCCAATACAGTATTTTTCGTCCATTTGGATGGCCTTTTAGGCTATCATTGGTGTCGGGGGGATACTAGATATTGATCTTTGCTGACCTTGAACTGTCTATGATTGTAAAATTCTTAAGTAATTTTGTCATTTAGATTGTAGATCCATTGTTTACCACAGTTCTTTATTATGAATACGTCATTCTACTGAATAATTCTTATGAATGTGTCACTGAAATTTTACTAAGTGTTTCTTTCTTTCTTTCTTTCTTTCTTTGAAGAGTATACTATTGCTATGACCAATTAAAAAAACATGGGCCCTCTTATCAAGTTAAGAATTTAAGATAACATGGTGGAATCATACAAAGTAGTCCAAAGATTTTTTTCAGGGGTAGTTCATTCCGTAAGTAAGTCTGCATCTTAGAGGAAAAGTTTGCATTTAAGAATTTTTTGTAGTATCTTATTTTAAATGGCAATATGTTATTAAAAATTCGTACAATGAAGCATATGGATATTTTTTTGTTGAAGAAGTTCATGCAGCAGTGTCTTCTGTTGTCCATTTTGATGAGTTCTCCTCAAATCTACAATTAAAATTCAATGCAAAATTGTGAAAAAAAAAATGAATTTTCCCAAAATAAATATTAATTTAGTCTGATTTTACCATGTTTTACCCCCCCCCCCCCCAAAAAAAAAAGAAATTAAGGATGTTTTGATAAATACCCAACTTTATCCAGATTTTAGGTATCCTATGACCTAGAGAATCCATAATTTCGGCCATTACGAAGAAAATGTACGTAAAGAATTTTTCAGGTTGAATAATACACTAAGTAACTTACCATACCAACGTGATTTTTTTTTGGCTTTGTGGTTTACAGACACCAAAAGAAGAAAATCTATAGTTTAAACCAGACCATTTACCATAAAGCATTGTGGAAAACTACATATGTATGAAACAGTTTATACTTAGCAAGGTGTTTTGACTCACAATATCCGTTAGTTTCCTATGCACATGTATTAATATGATATTCATTATTTTTAAATTTGCAAATATTTTCTTTAAAAGAAGTTATTGAAGAGAAAATAATATGGGGTAAGAGGTCATAGCGTAATCGAATCACAGAACGCGATTATTTTCTGTCACAGTGAGGTGGCTTCTGAACTTCTAACTTAAAAGCGATGACAGAGATAAAATGACTGAAACACGTGGATATTTTTTTTTCAATCAACAGCTAGATGCCCATTAAATATTCCTTATTTGTCTTAAATTTACGATTATTTACAAGTCTCGATTCATTTTTCTCTAACTCACAGGGAATCAGGAGGTTTTGTCACTCGGCCTAACCTGTTGATGAAGGAGACAGAATCATCCGAGGTTTGCCGAATGGAGGACTTGCTTATGGATTGTGGAAAACAACCAAGAATTTCCGATTTGCTAGCTCTGTCTGGTAAATAATCGCGAATTCAGGACAAATAAATTATTACACTTAAACAGGATACGAACAGAACAGGTTTGCACACCATCTTCTCCCAGACCTGCTTCTTGCATAAACTCCATTAGTAAAGCTGTTTTTACGTTGAAAATCTCCCTCGAAGTGGGACCCCGATTGTGTTTCTTTTATGCATACCCAGTCCCTGATATACCGGAGAGGGACAATCTCTAAAACGTAACAAAAACGGAAAAATGATATCAGAAATCGCAATATAGGTATACTAGACTAGAAATTCATATATCTTGGATAATTTATCGTGCCTTAAAAACTCTCAGAAAGTGTTGGGGGTGATGGTGGGGGAGTAAACGTCAGATTTCTGTGATTAAAAGTCCACTCAATCTTTTATGGTGATTTCTTCGAAAGTATTTTGGATTTTCATTTTGGTTTTGGTTAGCAAATTGGAGTTTCGACTAACATATATGTAACGACAGACAAACTTGGGAATGATCTTGTTTAATAATCTTAGTAGGCCCGTAAGAAGCAATTTCAGTTGGGGGGGGGGGGGGAAACAACCAAACATTTTCAGTTTGGGGGCACTAACAAAGATTCAAAATTTCCTTGACAAGCAAAAAAAGGGTCATCAGATGGTATTATTGAGGGGGCGCAAGCATATAGTAGCTATGTCTATATATCGCAAAATTATTGGGGGGGCACGCCCCCCCCCCGTTCCTACAGATATGCTATGCATAGAGGTCATCAACCTAAAAAATGACGTGGGTAGCACGTGACCTTATGTACACATTGCAATAAGCTTATCTTTGGCCATTCTAATAAAAGACTATATTCAACTGATCTTGCTCTGGGGCCATAAAATTTGGTTGAGTTCACTTTTGATCCCAGTCTCACTTTTCCACTACAGTATTCCTTTTGTACAAATGCGATTGAAATCAAAAGTGAACTCGTCTAAGTTGAATGACCCTGGAGCCTGAAAATTTACAAAACTAAAAAAAACAAACACTTTTTGGGGTATACACATATTTGGAAAGGCGTGTATATTGTCTAACAAAACAAGTATCCCCCGGCCACCCCCAATACATTTATTTCTCTGGGATAGAGCATATTTACATCTAAAAAAAATTCAAAGAGTCGAACACTAAATATTTCGTAGTTTTCATATTTATTCATAGAAATAAGGCGCGAATCAGACTTTATAAAATGTTTCTTCAATAGTTTACAAATTTGTCGTCTTAGTATGATTTTCTGTATCACATTCTAAGGAAATATGGTTCATTGATAATAAAATACTGCTGAAAACGTGGAAACTATTAATTCATTTCGTCATCAATTCTATGATACAGCTAAAAAGACAAAAGCCGAAGCAATATCTAAGTATTTTGTAAGCCCAAGAAATATATTGCATTCTCATTAATATTGTTCTTAGGTATGTATCTTAAAATTGAATTGTCAGACCATTTGGTTGCATTCTGCTGAATCTGACTCTGTATGGTACATATTTTGGAAAATCTTCCCTACGGGAGGTGACAGGAACTGAAACAGGTAGACAGTTGCTCTGAATTCTATTTACATTTGGCTGAAATGGAATAAAAATTACGTAATTTCTGTTTCCAGACCGGTTATTGATTGAAAGTTGCGTGTAGGGTATCAGGAGGGGGAAATCGGGATAGGCTAATCTCCTTGTCTCCCTGTGGAACGGAACCCTTAATGGAGCCCCTGTACTATCGAGTCTATAAGGAACATAAGCAATAGGGTCTGTTCTTTTTGATAATACATATATTGGAGAAATCCCTAAAGGAAGCTCGGATACACGTTGCGGCACTGGGTCAAGCATGGTATTTATTGAAGTCACATCCGAAACAAGAGATGGAAGTCTTGGATATGCTCGATCAAATTCTGCCTTTATCCTTGTATAGCAAGAGTCTTCATCCGTCAACGACAAACTAACGGGCTGAAATCCCTGATACTGAGAATAAAACACTGATTTCCGATCCCCGTTTGTTTGTCTTGCGTTTAATAAAGATGAAAGTGCCTCGTTTTGGATTCTGTTTGTACCACGTGCTTCCTCTCCTAGCACTTCCGGTAGTGACTCAATTTGGATTGGAGTCTCTATAACTTCACTGTTTAAAATTCTATAAGGTATGATGGAGTTCGAGACTAACCCTGATCTCTGACCAGAAGAGGATCCACTTACTGTCCATCTGCTCCTTCGAATCTCTGTTTGAGAGATGCACACATGGAGTATGCTGATAGCCAAGACAGAATAAACTAAAAGGCGCATCTTTGATCACGTATGTTTCCTGTTCAAAAAAAAAAAATTAAATCTTATAACAATTTTCTAGATGACTTGCAGCAAGTTAGTCTGATTTTATTCTTTAGAACAGCTGAATAGTGTATCTAAACTGCATGATTAACACGAGACAAATGTTCGATATTAACCAAAAAAAAAAAAAAAAGACAGATGTCAATTAACGTTATTCACGGTATAATGTTATCTTTACTTTTATTGATGTATATTATCTATACTTTTTATTTTGAATATAATTTTTTTAAAATTTAATGTAAAATTTACAAGATTAATATTTACAGAAAAGATAAATGAAAACTTTTTCTTTCTATGAAGTTTTTGTAACGCAGGAAAAATCAGAAGTTAGCAAATTAAGTGCATACATAATCATGAATATAAGATCCCCATACTCCTGTGTGACTTTATATGCAGTAGAATTTGGTCAGATCAGCGTAATTTTCCTGTAATATTTTACCACATGAGACATTAAACTGTTCATTGTTGGCCATTTTGATGACATTGGTTGATTTATGTTCTGTTGTGCTTTCTTCATGTTGTGCCCTTTTCGTCCATATTGTAATTCTTTGCACATACAGCGATTTACCAATTCACATAAGATTCCGACATTTCTTATGTTTTATAATAATAATCTTCCGATTTTATAAAAAAAAAAAATTGAAACGTGTTGATTGGAGAAGTTAGAATGTGAAAACTATCAATTTTTCAAAAATAAAACAAAAGTACTGAGTGAAATCACTTATTGGTCCCATTGGGGGGAAATGTGGAATTTTAAGGACAGTTTTGTTTTAATTTACTAATACAAGACTTCCTTTAAAGGACATTTATAAAACAAACAGTGTATAGTGTAATGACCTTTTAGACGTGAATTGAAATTTAGAAAAAGAATGTATTTAAGAACAATTTCTTTCTTCCAAAAGAGTTGTGAGCCTAGTTTATGTTTAAACTTAATAGCAGTATGCCGAAACCTTTTTTATTGTAGAGTCTCATCAATAATTTCTCAAGTAAATATGATGATTAAAAAATAACACGTATTAAAGCAAGTAAGAAGCTTGCAGAAATTTATGTTATATGTCATATAATGTCTACTACTTTGGCAATTAAGAATGTTTGTTTATAGAAACAACAATGCCTCTAATGAATGTATATAAGATGATATAAAAGTCAAAAATATTCGATCAGTCTTACCTTCATAGATCCCTGATCCGGTTTAAGGGAGTTTAAGGTTTATTTTGGCAATGAAGGAAAAGTAAATGTCAAACGGACTCGGAACGGATTGACAACCTGAACCAATGCAAATTTATTGTGTGACCAAATCATAGAGCGTCACCACCAGGACCGTGCAGCCACCAAGGATGACCATTGTTTACTCTGGTCATCTAATAGTGTAATAATTTTTTTTATATAACACTTTTTTAAATTCATATTTGCATTAGAAAGACTATCAAGAAGCTCTCTGATTGAAGCAAAATTACAATTTTGTTGCCCTGCACAAAAAGTGATTTTTTATATAAGACTAGTACTAAACATTCTAAAGTATATAAATTTTCCTCCGATAGATTTCTCGCTTAACTTTAGTCTTATTGATCATAAAGGTTTATCAAAACATAGGGCTCACGGAGGATGTGACCTGTCAACAGGGGATGCTTACTCCTTCTAGGCACTTGATCCCACCTCTGGAATTCCCGGGGTCCGTGTTTTATGTCCTATTCACATATTTGTATTGTTTGTAGATTTTTTTTAGTTCGATCACTGTTCCTTATCTTTGCTTTTTTCATTTATAATAGATCTAAAAGCGCCTGCAAAATTCTTAAAATACAGCTGATATTGCTTTAATTAAAGTCTTTTAAAAAGAGGTTCGATCCTGAGCATTTGAGCAGATTTTTGTCTGGACTTTTATTTCTAAAATTCTGCATCATATTGTAGTTCTCACATTAAATTTGGATTTTACAATGCAAATTCAACTATATTCAATTAAAATCCCATGATTAAATTCAATACAAAAAGCAATTACTGAGGAACTATATTTTGTAGAGGAAGGTGTTTTATAGAAGAAAATTATCAATTTTTCTCTTTAGACTGATTAGTTCTGATTCCTATTTTTCCCTGCAGGCTACACACAGAGTTACCTTGTGTAGTGAGTTCTACCATCATATTGTGACAAATATTGCAAATATATTCTGAAAGTTTAGGGGAAAATAGGGTCAATTTTAAACTAAAATTAATGCATTTTAGTAATATCTAAAAAATTACATCATAGACCCCCACTTTTGATTTTCTTTTCCGAATATATAAGATAACTTAGATCATTCTGCTTAAATTTTGTGAGCGCAGAAAGAACAAATGATTGATTATTCTAAGTAATTTGAAACTTTTTCTTTGTCACAATTTTTAATTGTCTTTTCAATATCGAATAAGAGTATATTTGGTCCCATGATTTATTTGGATGAAAAATATTGGAGGAAAAACTTTGAAAAAGTGATTTATGTTTAAGTACAAAAAGGTCAAATTAAATGTACCCTAGCGCCAAAAGAAGCGTATTGACCCCGATTTTTTTTTTTTAATTTTTGTTATTATTATTTTTTTTTTTTGAAAAGCTATGTGTGTAACGTTATTAATCATTTCAGACACAAATGCTAGCTGTGTACATGTTGAGAGCCAAGCCTAAATATGTTATGTTGTAAATTTTGAATTTACAAGGTTGGCATTAAATACAAAATTTATACAACATGACAACTAGTTGTCTTATTGTAAATTTTGTATTTACTGCAACCCGTTTAATTCAAAATATACAACGTGACAAAAATATCCGTCCTGTGATTCGGACAATTTCGCAACCATCCATTGCAAGGTAAATTGGTGCATGCCAACTTCAATAAAATGCATGTTAATACAAATATATTACTCGTTAACATAAATATTAAGTTGCATGTCAACATCAATAAATTGCATCTTTCTTGTTGAATGTCATGTGGACCATTTTTGATATTCTTTGAAATTTCTTCATGTGATCGGCTTGATAGATCACAGTTGATTTCATGTGAGGAATCCAGCAAATGTCACCATTGGCGCAAACACGCGATGGACTACTTGGTTCACTATGCACTTACAGCTTCATGTAAATTTATCATAACATGTTATATACGAAGGAGCTCTTCTTAATCCATTACTTTGAGATGCAAACATTAAAAGTTATAAGTTACCCCGACAGGGGATGCTCACTCCTCCATAAAACCTGATCCCAACTCTGATGTTTTAGAAGTCCGTGTTTGCTCTGCTCCTATTTTGTAATGTTTAATGGACTTTTGAGCTCGAATACTGTTCGTTATCTCCACATATTCCATTGTGAAACTATAGGCACATGTACCTCAAAAGTGATGAGCTTAAAAATATAACTGGTATATCTAAAACCACCGATGTCGTGGGGTCAAAATTCTTACAATAACTATTAACAATACGATAGATAAGAATAACTCAACATTTCAAAACATTTTATTAGATGGCAAAAATAAAACATTTTTCATTTGGCATATCATAATTATTTTAGTGAAAATAACGACGATGTTGAAAATAAGATCACGTGATGAATGTTTCCTCCTTGATGGGCCAACCAGATACATGGGTTTGTATCAAATAGAAGTCTTTTGGAGAGCTTCCTCGAAATATTTTAGTAATATCCACCTCCTGTTAAAATAGAAAAAGACTCATAATTTAAAGTCTTAATTAAATAGCGTGGTCTGGTAGCGTGTACAATTGCAATGTATGTGCGTATTTTAACGTTAATCAAACCTTGAACAGATTTAAATATTTTTACTACTTAAAAAATAAACAATTATAGCAAAACATTTTATTTTTTCTGAAATGTCTTTTGTGGCTTATCGGATTTTAGTGATAACTTAAGATCAATATCGATGCAGTTAACTATGGAAACAATGCAAAATCCAAAGGCGCGACGTCCATGCGATAAGAAGGAATTAATCATCAAAAATGTCATTCCTGCCATTCTAAGAAAGCTACTACCATTTGAACACTTTGGTCATGGATACGTGTAAGCAATCCCAAGAAGCATATCTAAAACATTTTAGTCTCTTTCGGGCATTTTCCTGTCTGGCGACATAATTTTTTAATAGCTTGATGCTCCAATACGTTCAATGACGTTATCACTCTTGACGTCGATCGTCTATACTAGTAATTAGCGTGATTCCTATTCGATAATTTTGTCATTCTTATTCGATGATTAAAATGATTTATATTCGATAAACATGTTTTTCCTATTGAAAAACATATCATTCCTATTCGAAAACATACAATCCCATGAATTGTGAATTATGACGTTTCTCTTCGACACTCATGTTGAATCTGATGATACATAGGATTTACAAAAAAAGGAATGAATTTAGAAATTACAGTTGGACAAAGTTCAAATAATTTTATTACAACAACTAAAATTGAATCTGATGATACATAAGATTTACAAGAAAGGAATGAATTAGAAATTACAAGTAGACAAAGTTCAAATAATTTTATTACAACAACTAAAATAGAATCTGATGATACATAAGATTTACAAAAAAAAGGTGGGGGATGAATTTAGAAATTACAATTGGACAAAGTTCAAATAATTTTATTACAACAACTCAAAACAAGACAGTTTTTAGCAAAATGGCTGTAAATATTATAAAAAAGAAGCACGCGAGAGGTAAAAAAGATATGCCAATGAACTGAAAATGAGTCCCAAAAAGTAACGTCATAATGACGCGTCGGTAAAACCTAAGATTGTGTTTATCTTAATATTTTGAAAAGTATTTTATAAAATCGAATAAAATTTTAAGGCAAAAATCAAAATAGATAGGGATATTAATGTGTCAAATTTAATTGATAACATCCGATTATTAAAGATTTTATAGCGGCTGTTACATTACTTTTGGAGCAGCCCTCGTATCATAAATCTTTATGCCTACAACAGTGCAATTTTT